TTTATGTCCACCACAACCTATTTACTTTAGGAGATGTGGGAATACAAAAATATTCTACAAAGTGTAAATGAGCTAAAGACAACAGACAGCCTGAGCAACAGATGGCACTTTCAGAGGGCACCAGTGTGACAGTATTTGAACTCCACAGTTTTCATAAAAGTATTGGCACACCCTAGGACTTCTAAAATGAGTTATAAACAAATTAACTACTTTATTAATTAATTAATATCCCTGCAGTCATAATCAAGCTGGCTGGGAGGCACAAAGCTGTACTACATGGTAGCCTCCTGAAGTTCATGAGATCATCTTCTCCACAAGGCTTATGGCATTGAGTTCAGAGTCTGATTCCAGTTTTAAATAATTTGTGACTGCCTCCTTTGGACTTGAGGACCACTGTTTCCATTCCTTGGAGTCCCCTGTGGTCATGCTTTCAACCAAAGTAATAGAGGTCACTGTTAGTCACAAAAATAGTTTCTTGTGTTTGGTGTATTTGGTCCTGCTGTATCAGGACCTTCTCATCTCACCTACTTTCCATCTGCATCAACAAGACACGAAACTAGAATTAAAGCAGCAATTTGCACCACGCAGGGGTCTGAGCTTTTCCCTGAGCACCTCAGCCAAGTGACAGCACCTTACTCATTCTGATCACCACCAGAGAATGCATTTGTCCAGTTAAAAGACATGAAGGAGCCCCACACTTCCACATTGTAAATCTCCAGGAAACAGAGCCCTTTTACACCAGTGCACTACCTTCAGGTGAAACAGCAGATACTCAGTCACCAGCCACATACCAGCTACTCAGAAGGCCAAAGACTCGGTTCTCTTGCTGACCAACCAAAAGTTATATATTATTAACTGGGATAAATACTTTAAAATTGTTTGGGGTTTACATCCTGAAAGGCATTTTAAGGATTTAAAAAAATCACCTGTGGTTCTGACTCCAAACAACTGATTTCTCTCTCCAGAAAGCTGTTTTTTTCATATAAGTTTCAATACTTTTTGAGATTATAAACTGCAAGACAGCAGTCACAGCAAGGAAGATGAATTACAAAGACAGACTACTGTAATTTGGCATCAATAACACAAGGCCTAAAAAAATAACAAAGTGCATTAAAAGTTCAGGACCAGAGGCACAACAAAGAGTTTGCAGCAAAAAATTTTATAAACTGCTACAGCCAAAAAGAACATCGTTGGGAAAGCTTCATAGCCACCAAGTACAAACCCTGACATGCAATGGCCAAGCAATCATCGACTAAATGGCCAATATTCATTGACTAAAACACCAAAAAGCATGAAAATGTAGAAAGAGCAGTAGAAATTTGAAACATCATTGCATAGTACTGACCCCCATGGTGAGTTTTGAGCTTCTTGTTCAGAAACCATCTGCCACACAAAGACCACATGGCAGTTGGTTCACACAGACACTACTCCAGCAACAACAAAAAAACCTTCCAAAGAGCTGCCATGGAGTACTCCAGTGGCAGATTAGCTATTGTTAAGAGACTCTGCATGTTTGAAGGGTATTTCAGGCAATACAAACTGCAGAGGGAGAGGATAAAGCCTTTTTTGACAGCACAACCACCAATTTCTTTTAAAAATACCGCTCTATTTTCTGAAGTTACTTTTTAATAGGAGTTTGGAAGCTATTCTTCCCCAGGGACCCATTTCCCATCAATTTCTTATCCAGATTTATTTTCCTGACAAGAAGCAGGAGATGACAATTGGGTAAGGGATCCCTACCCCAAGAGCGACCCAGTGGGCCGGGGGGACCACATGTGCCCAGTACTGGGCCAAGCTGTCAGATACCCAGAACTGCATCCAGACACACATTCCTTCATTTCCCACCCTCACCTGACTAAAGGTAGATTCACAAGCAACTTTTTCTTAGTTTATTTAATTTTTAAAAGTTTTTTTCCATAACCTGTTTCCTCAGTTGCCTAAATCCACTCCTTCCTTTGTTCCCTCTCGTGCCCTTCACCTCTCTCTGAGCTCAGGTTTTACCAATGACTTCTCTTGAGGAATAGAGCTGTGGCCTTCCCCATCCTCCTCCTACTTTGTATCTTTACATCTTTATCTTCTCCCCCTCTCCCAGACAGCCCCATCTCAAAGCCCACACTCATTAGGCATTAAAGCAGATGTGCCTCAGGGAAAGACCGAGGTAGAAACTCTGTCACTCCATCTTTTCTACCAAAAAAGTAACTCTGATGCTCTCCACTGAGCAGCTTTTATAGAAGGCCAAAGCTTTGTGTGTCATGTTCTTTCTTCCTGCTGTATTCTGGGAGTTTTGAATCAAATCTTCACAGAATTTCAAACTACTAATTCTGTGTGAAACAGGACACAGGCAGAGGACAAACACGTAACCATCACCCACAGAGACAAAGAATCAGGGGAAAAATATCTCTCAGTGACCTCTCCTCGAGAGCAGGGCTAAAAGAAAAGAGTTTCAGGTCAATACCAGGTCACCACAGAATGGGACAGTAGTGAAAAGGCCCAAGGAACTTTCTCTCCCAAAAGCTGATCAGCTAAGGTTTGAAGATACACCACATAAAATCTTCTCAAAACCACAACATCATCTAACTCTATCCAGCACTTTTCTACTTGATGTGAAATTCTACTGAAACACACACATTCATCTTCATTACTAGACAGAGGATGGTGGCAGGACTCTGAAGGAGAACCAAAACTTAACAACAAATGCAAGTTTTGCACAGAAGCAATTCTGTGTCGTACAAAGGGAGGCTGTTTTCAGGTTCTCCTTGGTTTATGAGGAAGCATAATTTTAGAAAGCTTGGAGCTCAGATGGAGAGACAATGAATGCTTTAGAGCAAATAGGAAGTTATGTCTGAGTCTGAGCAGCTTCAAAAATTTTGATTTTTAGCCTCAGAAATTGCTGTTTCTCCTAGTCTTGTTTTATGATGGAAGACAGCAAGAGCATACTAAAAGGCTGTGTTCTTACTGGAATTTCTAAAGACTTAGACTAGCTTACACTAACAAAATATTTTCATCCTTCAAAGTCTGAAAAGCTTGTTTACAGTGAAAGTGACCAATCCTCTGAAACAATCAAACATCTGATTTTCCCATTGAAATGGATGTTGGTGTACTTCAGCATCACAGAAGTATCCTGTCTGAGCTAATAATGCCCTGTATCACAACTTAATGGTCTCTTTACCTCCTACAAATTAAAAAAGTAGCTCAGAAACACGAGTCTTGATGCCTGCATCTATACCATTCATTTCATAGGGAAGGACTGAATTTTGCTGTCCACAGAGCCAACATCAAGAACTCTTCCTTTTCAACCCAGCAAAAACTTTGCCAGTGCTCAGTGCCCACACAGAAGTTGTTGAGCTCAAGGCTCTCATGGCAGTCCCACAGCCAGAGTCTCCCCTCACATCTGTCTCACTGAAGATCTGGGCTGAGTTAAAATTTCTTCCCAGAGTACATTTTTTCCAGCATATGAGCACTTCAAAGGCCACACAATTATTTTTTTTTTAATTTGAATTTGAAGTTAGCACCAGTCTTTCCCAAAATATTTTGGTCACAAATAATTTTATTAGTAAATAAATTAATCAGTAATATTGAGAATACAGGGCTGCCTTTTTTCTTTTTTGCCAAGGGGAAAAAAAAATGCTGTTGAAGCAGAATCCATTATGAACTGCAAGATAATGCACAGTCCAAAAGTTACATCAGAGTATTCTCAGTCCTGCCAAATGCATCTTTACTGAAATTGTTTAGTTGGAAGAAGGTGATGTATCATGCCATTATTAGGAATGTATCAAATATTTCTGCAGTAGGTCTTGGGTTTGCAACTGTAACAGTGAAATATTACACGTATATTGCCATCTCATGGATACTACAAACACTTGTTTAAAATTCCAGGAACACAATCCCTGACAGAAAAAATATGCAGAATCCACAGCAAATAAAATTGTAAAGATTTACAACGTGAAAGCAGGAACTTCACATTTGAAACAGTCCAAAAATCTGCCTCAGATTCTCTCGTAGTAGTTACTATTTTTATGACTTGGCTCAGACTTGCTTTAATCTCTTTATTTAGGGAGAAATTGCAAGCTTGCCAACTCTAGCAAATGTTAAGTACTTCAGTAAATTCCCCATCAATATAGGTCGTGCATTCGAGGGAACAAGAATGTGGTGAGTAAGTTCTGCTCCATCTCCTCCAAAGAGGATTTCAGAATAAGGCAGTGATGGGAGTGAGAGATAAACAACGTGGCTAAGCCCCCCTTTCAGCTCCATCCTCCTCTCCAGACATCTGTCCACACTGCCTGGTGCCGTGATTGAGATGTTCTGCGATGCAGCTCGCCCAGCCTGCCGTTATCCTACATCCCTTTTATCTGAGCAGGCAGGAGAGCAAATGTATTGCCAAGGCTACTGCGTCGTCACTCTTCCATTAAAGTTCAGTAACAGCACGGGGCGAGTTCCAGCGAGTCAGCAAAACCATAGGAAACCCAACAGATGCAAAGATGCCTAAGTATGGAGGATGAATTGAGAAACAGCCCGAATAGCCTGTGCAGGCTTTCCGGAGCACCTCCGCCAAATTGCCTAAACCCACCGAGTCCTGTCAAACCCCGACTTCTGCTTTCAAAAAGAACTTGGCAGCCGACAAACCGAACCGCGGATCGCTTCCCAGGCTGTGCCCGAACAAGCGCATCTCTCTACCCAAAGGGCTCGGACGAGCAAACAGACAAGTTTCGGTCCCTTCGCGCACTTGCCCAGGCGGGACCTGCGGCCGTCCCCGCACGGGGGGACGGGGCCGGCGGGCAGCCCCCGCGCCGGGGGATGCGCTCGGCCGAGCGGCGGCCGCCGCTCCCCGGGCTGCCCCGGCTGCGAGCCCCGGCCCTGCGGCTCCCCGCCCGGGAGGGTCCCCGCGCCGCCGGGAGCCGCGGGCACCGCGACCCCGCGCCGGAGGAGGGCCGGGCGGCCCCGGCTGCCGCTGCGAGCCGGAGGAGGAGGAGAAGGGGGGAGGCAAGGGAAGAAGCCATTACCAGAGTTTTGTTCCCGTTCTTGCTGAGGGGGCCGCGGAAAACTCCCTTGATGTTGCGAAAGTGCCCGTTGCTGAGATGCGCGGAGCTGATGACAATGTAGTAGCACTCCATGGGGCCGGGGCCGCCTCCTCAGGCCGGGCTCGGCGGGGCTGGGCGGGCAGGGCCGGGGCCGGGGCCGGCGGGGGCCGGGGGTGCGGCCCCTCAGGCGCGGCGCGGCCGCGGGAGGAGGATGCGCGGCGGGGCGGCCGCGGCGGAGCCGAGCGAGCTGCCGCCGCCGCTGGCAGGCATAGTGCTATTATAGCGAGCAGCCTTGCCGGTCGGCTGCACTGAGCCAATGGCAGGGAGCCACTGGGCTGGTACCGAGCGCTGTCAGAGGAGGACATCTGTCACACGCCGCCTCCACCGCCACCCACCGCCCCACGCCCCGCTGCCCCCGCCGCGGACGGGCCGGCGGCAGGTAAAGGGGGACGGGAGGGGGGAGAGGGCAGAGCCGGCGCCCCAACCGCAGCGAGCCCCGCAGGTGGGGTGTGCCCTCCTTTTTCCGGGGGTGGGGACGACGACGAGTGTGATTCCTGCGGGATTCGGGGGGGTGGGCATGGAGAGATGCCCGGGGTGCGACGCCCCCAGCCCGACGCTCCCGCCCTCCTCCTCCTCCGAGCAGCCTCCGCGCCCTCCACCGCGCCCTTTTCTTTTTTCTGACATATTCCTCTAACACCCCACTCCACCTGCCCGGAGCGATCCCCATCGGCCGCCGCCCCCGCCCGCCGCTCTCGGCTCCTCTGGCCCGTAACCGGGGGAGATCGGTCGTTTCTCATCCTCGCTCGGGGTAAGCTCCATCCCGCCCTTCGCTGGGCTGCGGCCGCCGCAGCCCATCCCCGCCGCATCCCGCCCGGCAAGCTGCAGGATCAGGAGCGGGCTGGCAAAACTTCTGGGTCACGGCATCGAGAAGCGCTTGGGGCCGCATCCTCCCTTCCCAGAGCGCCCGCATCCCTCCTCCTTGGGTGCCCGCATCCCCCCTTCCCGGGGCCCCCGCATCCCTGCTCCTTGGGGGATGGCATCCCCCCTTCCCGGGGCCCCCGCATCCCTCCTCCTTGGGGGATCGCATCTCCCCTTCCCGGGGCCCGCATCCCTGCTCCTTGGGGGATCGCATCTCCCCTTCCCGGGGCCCGCATCCCTGCTCCTTGGGGGATCGCATCTCCCCTTCCCGGGGCCCGCATCCCTGCCCCTTGGGGGATGGCATCTCCCCTTCCCGGGGCCCGCATCCCTGCCCCTTGGGGGATCGCATCTCCCCTTCCCGAGGCCCGCATCCCTGCCCCTTGGGGGCCCGCCTCTGCCCCGCGGTTACTCACGGTTCTCCGGGCCCGGGGCCGCGGCGGAGGCGGCTCTGCCCACCCGGCCTCGCAGGGCTTGGGCGTCTGCAAGGAAAAGGACAACAACCATGGTTTCTCGCAGGCTCTGGCGCAGACTCTGCGATCCTCAGCCTCAACGCCCGTGTAATGTGCTCGGCTCGGTTCTACAAAGCCCCCAGCAAACTGGACTAAAAACCATTAGGTACATCAGCATGAGGTAGGTATAGGATACCCCTGCTCCTTCACCAGCATAAGTGCTCCTTTCTTTTTGCAGCACACAAAACAGAGCTGGCTTCCAGGACCAGAATTTGCCACAGTCCAAGATGTGCACAAGAAAGATGCTAAAGTGTGGTTTGTTGTTTTCTTGGTGCTTCCCCCCCTGCCCCCCCAACATAAGATATCTGTGATTTGGAGCTTTCTCATGTGAGGTGTGAAATACTCTTGGCTGGCTCATCTCCCAACTTGCTTTACCTTTATTCTGCCTTGTAAAAATCAAGATTGATGGGATGAATTTCCAGTGCCAAAAGAACGAACACCTTAGAAAAGCAGCCCAGAAACATGATGTAACATCTGAACATGTCTCTTAGTCAGCATTTACTGCTGGCAACATAATAGCAGTGTCCTATCATCTTGTCCTCCAAAATAGATGAGCTGCTGCCAGAAGATTCAGGATGGGGACACAATACAAAACATTTCCCTGGCAGAAATTGTCTCAGGTGTTTGCATCCTTGATGAAGGAAGCCCCAGTTTTTTGAGATGTGCCCCCTTCTGATAAACATCTTCTATCATTACCTCCGGTGGCACACAGTGAATAGTAAATTTTGACAGCTGTCACTCATTCTTTAGCATTTCCAGTACTTAGGAAGGAATTACAGAAATGGCAAAAGTGGAAAGTTTTGACAGCTGAGCCACAGGTGAGAGATCAGAATTTGCTGCTTCTTGTTAGAGCCAAAAAAAGAGTGTCATAATGTACACGCACAGTAACATGATTTTTCTGGTTATGATGATGTACGTGTACATCTAGAAATAACCAGCAAGTTCGTTGCCATGTGAAAATCAAGTCAATATTATAAATACCTGATAAATTTAAAAACACAGCACACGCAAGGCCTGGTTACCCCTCAGACAGAATCATGGGTGTGGTTCCCTCTCAAAAATGTCAGAAGTTTAGGTCTGATAGAATAATGAAAAGCCATAAAATGATGCAAGAAATAAAATGAGGCAACTTTTTCCTGGGAATAAATATATTCCAACTTGGACTAGAACAATTTTTTCCACCTAAATAGAACATTACTGATATATGAGGACCCTTCTGCCTCAGAATGAAGCTCCACACATCCACCATCTCAAAGAACTGGAACCTTTTTCTCTGAAATCCTTGCACAGGCACATTGCTGACACATTTACTCACAGCTGCTACAGCCATACCTGGGCCCTTTCAGGCTTGTGCAGCTGCTCTCTGGCCTTTCAGAAACATGCAGGCACTGCTTGCACGCTCTTAAGAGTCCAAGGACTTGGGAACATCTTGCAGCAACAGAGAAATAACCTACTTCCACAGCTCAGGTTTCAAAGGTTCACCCCGCTTTGTACCAAACAGAAGCGAGAAAAAGCATTAAAAGCTGCTATAGCTTCTGCTCATGAAAATCACTGTCTTCCTCTATTAAGGGAGGGAAAAACCAAAAAACAATTAAAAACCACCTGATTCCTCCAAAGCACTAAATAAACAAAGGACAAGCCTAAATAACACCTAACAAGCAAAATATATATTTTCTAGTCCTGCCTATTCTGGTTGGCATTTTTTTTTTTTTGGCTGATCTCTGATCTATCTTAACCCTTCACCTAAGTTTTCTTGCCTCATTCTGTTTATTATGATCACACAGGCTCAAGATGCTGCTTCGTTCCCAAATCTTTTATTTTTAATAAATTGCTGATTTCATAATCTCTAATGCTATTGCTCCTACTTACCATCAATCTTCCCCATTTCCATCCCTGTCCTGCTCTCCTGGGTAAGTATCTGGGGTTTCAGCTCTTTATATTGCTATTTATTCAAATCTCTGCTATGTAATAATAACCAGTGCTGCATATTTACTCATTCTCTTATTCTTCTATTTGGGAAAAATCTCCAGGGAGTTGTTCTTGTATAAAACAGCAAATACCAACTCAAGAAACAAGCTATGGATTTGAGACATTTTCTGGAAAACTTGTGAACTAGAAGCCAGTAAACAAATGAAACTAATTCTTGTGCATTCTACTGTTTTTGTGCCTGTAAGTACACTCAATATTCTTCATTCTAATATTTAATAATATTCATTATTTAAGAAATAATCCTGGCATAACCCAGAAAAAGTATTCAAAAGTATAAACTCTTTCGGTTTACAGTTTTTAAAGCATGACACAGCATGTGTGTTACTAACATATCCTGAGAAATCATTCACTCTCTTCAAGCATACCCTTCAAGGGTAGCAAGGAATATCTGTGCTCAAGTCACAAGAAACTCAAAAGTTCCCACAGCAATTCTTAGTTAATTCAACAAAATTCACTTTACCCTAAGAATAACTCCTTGTTAGTAATCTGCTGCCTGAGACACACCTTTTTACCATCTCCTGCACTTTCAGTCTCCTTGTACTAGTCCTTTTTTTTCTTTTTTTTCTCCTTTTCACCGAGCCCTGTATGTGTTTCCCTATTTCAGATGCCATCATCCTTGCACGAAGCAGAAAGAAAGCTGGGAGTATCCCGAGTACCTTTTCAAAGCCATTATGGGGTAATGTGCATTATACAGTGTATTACAAGTGCATTCATTCATCAGCTGTGGGGGTGGTACAGCAGGATGGAGGAAACTGGGATACTCTGGCAGCTGAGTTCCCAGCACATCCTCCATGGTGTGTGAGGAGTATCAGAGTGGGCTCCCTGTTCCAACACTTGAGCTGAGTGGAGTGCTGGAATCACAAAGCTAAGAAAGGCAGCGGTGCCTTAAAGCCCTGCAGCTCCCAGAGTTGTGTCACAGGGAGAGCACTGGGAAGGCTTGGTCTAGCATTTCTGCTCAATCCCAAAAGTAGGAGCAAAGATTTATCAAAACATACTCTGTTTTCTTTTCTTTGGTCCTTCAGCCCTTCAAAGCACATTATTTCACACCACTGCTTATTCAGAACAGCTCAGGTGAAAAGCTTGTCCAGCAAGAATCGTCCCCTCCCTCTTTTCACATACCCACATCTGTATCTGGCACTACATTCTTGTGTTCAGAAATGCAAACACTTCTCTGCCCCTGCTCTTCCCAGTCACCAGTATTGCCACTGCCTGCTTTAGGATACTATTGGGAAAAACTGTTTTCTTACTGGATATAATACACCATTCTCTGTATCTTCTCTTCTAAATGTTTATTCTGCAGAATTTCCCCAACAGCACATGGACACAGCATCTTTTTGTTTTCTCCTCTAATCCATTCCTAACAAATAAACCGAACCGGACAAATAAAAATTCAAAATAAAATTGCAAATGACACCCTGAACATGAGGTGACACCAACAAGCAACTGATGTACTATAATAGTATTAAACAGCAAGATATTTTTACAAAGGCCAGAAAACACCTGATGACCCAAGCCAAAACACCTGATGGCTGCTCAAGCCACTCCTGAGCATTTCAAACACTGAAAATGCAATTCACTGTGCTATGTTAAACATATCCATAGAAGCAAATCCTCTGTCAAATAGAGTGCCCCTATGTGAAAAGCAAATGGAGACAGCAACTGGAAAATGAATCCCCAAAACAGTCTGTCATGGAATTATGGTTTCCCAATATCCATTCAAACCACATATCCAA